TATTTTATTAAATTTACTCAAAATTTGATCCGGGCCGGGCCCGGGTTTTTCATATGCTATCCGGGCCGGGATTCCGGGCTAAAAACAAAAACCCGGAAAAACCGAATTTTATTAAAATACCCGGTTTCCGGGCCCGGCCCGGGTTCGAGCTCTACTTAGGATAGTCTTTTTTGTTTAAAAGCTTCCATCCGTTACCATCATCACAACAATGAATAAAAACAATGGTGACCATTACATGGGCAAAATAAAATTTTAACATTTTTTAGAAAGTTTTAAGTTTTTTTTCATTCCTCCTTATTTTCTGTAGGCATTTGTATAAAATTAAACAGAAATATACAATTTTATATTTCCGTTGAAAAGAGCAACCAATAATTTATTGAATTAATTAGAAAGGGCATCCTTTGTCTTAAATCTTTCCATTGTTGACATGGGGTGAAGGCTTATTTTCATTGTCTAAAAAATTTTAAGAGAAAATTTTACTTTCTATTGTTTGTGAGATTCAATTGTCTGATCAAAAATTATTGTATAAAATTTCACTGTCTTATAGGTATGAAAATGTAAGAAAAATTATATTAAAGTTAATTGTCTAATTTTTCAAATTTATTAAAAGTTAAATTATTCCTCATTGAATTACTGTAAGTAAATATTAAAATTCACTTTATCGCTTAATAGTTTTAAAAGAGGCTGTCAAGGCTTATTTTCATTGTCTAAAAATTTTAAGAGAAAATTTTGCTTTCTATTGTTCGTGAGAAAAAGCTAAAAATATTAGTTGCGTCATGATTAGTGGCTGTTTTTAAAATTTTAGGGGTGTTGTTTTACAAATTTTCTTTTTCATTTTTAATAAAAAATAGATCTGAATCTACTCTTCATTTTAATACCAGGTATAGCTACATATATACGGGTGATATTTTTAAAGTTATGAAATTTCGAAACAGATTTTGCTGATACCGATAGCCAATCGGTATCCGTATAGGGATTGGCGTGAATACCTAATCCATTGAATTTAATTTCTTTGATGTTGAGATAATAGCATCCTTCTTTTCCTCAATTGGAGAAGTAGAGGATTAGAGGTCTATCGGTGAATATTTACAGTCTAATTTTAAGTTAGATTTTTTGCATTTTTAACCGCTTTTCGGACATAAACTAGGCTTCTGATTTATCAAATATTTATCGCTTAGAAAAGATAACAACGCTTTTATCTGTTCTTTCATTTTTGCTTTTTCAACAAGTATTGAAGAAAACTTGTTGGGATAGGCGTAATAATATTTTTTCAGATAATACCCAAGATTTTGTTTATGCTTACAAAAAATTTTAGAGAATAATAAAATAATAAATATACATATATCGAATATCGATAATCGTTGATCGAATAGATACGGATAATGTTTTAAAAAATAAATCTTCAAATTTCTTCAAGAAAATATCTTCAAACTTCATAATCATCGCGATGATCAACCATAAAGATGGCCATAATGATCAACTCCAGTAGCGTGACCATAAAGGTCAGCTAAATGTTGATTATCTACATGCTGTTGATGGTGGTTACCTAAAATTGTAAATTAAACATTTCTTTTATAATTTATTGTGAAGAAAACTCGGTAAGAGTTATATACTTATGGAGCCTTCAAGCAGCTAGAAACGCTTTTTTCAATATGCATTATATTAGAGGGGCATTTAGATGGATGGGAATCTGACGAAGGAAGTCTGGCCCTTCTGTACATATAATTAACAATACGGGAATATAGGGGAACTCTAAACCTTGGTTTACCTAATAAAACTTTAAATTACAAACCAGATTTAGTATCAGATGTTGCTTGCTGTTGGCCCATCCCTAAAACAATTAATGTAATTAAAAATTATTACTTATAATTATTTTTATGAGATTTCAAGCTCCTTTTCAAGTTACAAATTATTGTAAGGCCGGTATCATCCTAAAAACACGTGAAGAGGATCATCGCTCTACATAGCGGAAGTTCCCAAAGAAAACGCAAAGAACGCCACAAAAGGCCATTCCCAAAGAGTTATTAGCCGCCCATTATCTAAACTAAACATCGCAACTAACTTATCCTTTGGAAAGCAATAGGGAAGTAAGCTGGTGCATATAAGCCTTAATGGAATAGGCAAAGGCAGATCACTTCTTCACTCATTCAACAGAGTTGCCGGCCGGCTTATCCATCGTGTAAAGGGAGAGACGTCTCCCCCTATATTCCCCCACTGCGATTCACCTATTTCTATACTCTGCGGAGTTCACACATGATTGCAAGCATGAAAAACCAACTAAAGAACGAGGCACTGGGGAACGGGACCAACCGCTTTACTTTATTATTTGCCGACATTTATGCAAGCCTTTACCTTTGACCAGATTGAAACTCTTGTGATTTTCAATTAAAAATACTATTTCCAGAAAGTAATATATTTTTCACTAATTTAATTTTCCACTCTATTTTTTGCCTAGTATTTTGAGAAATTCCTTTCCTTAATAATTCCTTTCCTAATGTTCTAAATAAATTTATTAGAACATTAGGAAAGAGAGTTGCAGGCCGGGGGTTCTTGTAGACTGAGGGTTCTTGTAAAATTTTATTTAAACTGTTTAAATTAATCTAAATCATTTATATTTTTTTAAAAAATTTTAATTAAAGACCTGCGGCAGGATTAGAGTAACCAGACTGAGGCTTTGACTTTTGTTTGTTTTTGCCTTTACCAGCATCACAACAATGAATAAAAACAATTGTGACTATTACAAGGGCAAAAAAGAATTTTGACATTTTTAGGAGTTTTTAGGAGTTTTAAAAGTTTTTTTAGTTGAATTTTGAATGTTTCCCCTTATTTTCAATTAAGCTTTTATATTAATCTAAATCAACAGAGTAGGGGGTGGGTATAGTAAATGCCTTATGATTTTTGAAAGTACTTTCCATTAAAAGGTTTTTCCATTGTTCTATATTAAATTCTATTGTTTAAAATAAAAATTTTTAACGAGACAGTCTATTCTTTATTCATTGTTTGGCAAAAAATTTTATTTCCTGGTTTTTGGTTTAATTTTAATGGGGAATATACTTATAATAGTCGATAAATGTACTCGTAGCGTTGGGTCTAATATTGAAGTGTCTAGTGTCTTATTAAAATTTATCCCCATATAATTTAATTTTTTTTAATAATTATATTTTAAATAAATTTAATAAAATAATTAATAAAAAATAATTATATTTAAAAAGCGGATTTTTAAATTAATTAAAACTTTAATAAAGTTAAGTAAATGTTTGTCACAAATTCTATTTCTTAAAATTTATCAAAAATTTTTGAAATTATTTCAGGGTGAACTTAATATCTTAACCAAATGCTTGTGAATCAGTTTTTTGTTATTAATAGCACCGCAGATTAGCAAAGGCCATAGCAAACAAAATGTCATTTAAGGGGGCAGAACGCCAACCAATTAAAAAAAGTTCAATTTACACTTTTTCTCTAATTTGTTTTTGATTTTCTATACTTTTTATGCAAATTTTACAAATCCGATGTTATTTGATTAAAAATCATATATCTCGAATAACTCAATTTTTAAACGATAAGCTCGCATATTACAGAAAAGGCTTTTGTTTTTATTTTTGCAGAAAATCTTAACAAAAATAAATATAATTTTAAAAACTGCATACACAGAGTTTCAATTCCTAGTAAATCGACAATTAATAAATTATTGAGTGAAAAAAGTAAGAAGGGAGATGACGCAAAACTGAGCAAAAAAAAAGAAAAATTTATAGAATAGTTGAAAGTGTTAAGAGGGCTCAGAAAGCAGCTGGAGCAAGTAAACTGAGCAGAAAGTCAAGAGGTTCTAAATTTACGAGTTTCTATCATTAAATTAACTCATTATTTATATCAATTTTAGTCATTACTTCAGCTGAATTAAATAGTGAGGAAAAGGTAAAATAATCTTCAGTACAAATATTTCATCTTCCATTGAACTGCAGTACAAACATTTGTTCCATTGAAAGTTGAGTCAGTTCAAAGTGAGCATCGAATAATACAAGAATGCTCGTGTTCGAAGAACCATCACCCACATTATTGATTGTGAATGTCGCAGAATTAATACAAATAAGAATTCAGTCTTTGGTTAAAAGTGGTAAATTCAAGGTTATCGTTAATTTCAGTTTATTATTTAGGTTTGTTAGTTACTAGGGAAGAATTTTGTGGAAAAATTGTGTTGGTGATTGCTGGTTACAAGGCTTTTTGATCTGAGACACTTCAAATGCAAGCCGCCCAAGCAATTTCACAATTTTAGCACTGTATAGATTTGAAGACAACAGAGGCGAGCTGGATAGCAGATTAGGCCAGGTTTTGGACCAAATAAAAGGAATAAAACAAATTAAGAAACAACAGCGGAAATTCATCAAACGTAAAAAATAATCTTATCTAGAACTGATATCAAAATGATAAAAAATATTTTTCAAGTCTCAGTTGATCAATTTCGATGCCCATCTATCTCACGGCTTATCACTCTCTCGATTGATTACATTTGCGGAAAATTTATTACCGTGAGAGTGATCAACATTGAAAATGGTCATCAGTAGGGATCAGATTTTCAGGTTAAAAATACCGTAAATTAGGTACCTAAATAGTTTGTAAAAAATGCCAAAATAGGTGACAAGAATGGAAAATAGGAAAAAATTTTATTATATTAGAAAAATTTTATTATATTATATATAAAAATTTTATTATATTATACAAAAAAATAAAAATCTTCTATTTTTTATTTTTAATATTTATGCTAAGTTGAAAAATGTAAAAGCAAATAAGAAGTTAAAAAAATTTTTTGATAAAATGAAATTTAAAAAAGTTCAAAGAATACCCTATTTCTCGATTAATTCTCTGGGGAATTATTTTTTCTGCCCATCCGTGCATGGATTTGAGGAAGGAAAATTACTGTTCCAACCCATTCATAAATTTTTGTTTAACGACCAATTTTATTGTTTTGGGGTGGGGAATTATTTGAGGGACGGAAAAATTAATCGAGAAAATACGTGATATCTTGAAAATTGTTGGTATTTAATATTGGTAGTACGGTACGGAATAGGGGAGTTATGGAAGAAAAGGCTTTGCTTGTATTATGCTTGTTTGTTACGAGTCCAACTTTAAAAATAATGATTGAACGAGGAAACACCTGTCTTTCAATCTATGAAAACACCAAATAATCTGGATAAAGTTTAATATTTTAGAAATGAATTAGGGCTTTTTTAATTTTTTTGAATTTCCAAACCTACAAAAACTATTTTCTCCAAACTTAATAATTTTCCTTATATGCGACTTTTAAATCTTTTACTTTTTTGGAGGTTTTAACTTAAAAAAATGTTTTTTCAAATCGTTTTCATAGAAAATAATTTTGTTTTCACTCAAGTTTACTCTTTCAAACATATTCTTCTCAAATTCTTTCTTTAATTCGAATTCACCAATTTTTACCATATTGTTGTTGCATAAATTTTTCTTCATCCTAAACATTCAAATTTATTTTTAATTTTAAAATTAATATAAATTGAAATTAACAATTTAGACTTTTGATCAAAGAATCCAACAACAGATTTATACCCATTTTTAAAATACCAAAACAGAGTTTGCTGATACCGATACCGAGGTCGGGGTGTACGGAACTTTCGTCTCCAACATTTTAGGAATTTTCGTCTCCAGCGGAATTGTTCCGTCAACGGGAGAAGTTGTTCCGCCAATGGGGGAGGTGTTCTGGAGACAAAAATTCCTAGCGGACTATTAATTCCTTTCACTGGACTCATAAACTAGAACAGAGTTGAACAACTTTCCAACGATTGGGAAAGTTGTCTCAAAAACAGTCAAGGTTCTTATTTTAACAATAATAAGTTGTTTCAAGGACACGAGGAATATGGAAATTGATTAATATCCAGAGTTTTTGCTCAATGAAATTTTTTAAAAATACCGATTTAACAATCCCGAGTCGATACCGGGATCGGTGGGTTTTGGTATTTCTGAATTTTAGAATTTTTCCTTCAAAAATTTCAGAAACTTTCATAAAAATATTTCTGAAATTATAGTCGATAAATATCGAAAAATTAGATATTTTTTAGAAAAACAAGATTTTTAGCCATATTTTCAAAAATACTTGATCAAAAATTCTGAAATTTATAGAGAACTTAGATAAAGTTATGAGTTATTATTGCAAAATTTTATCTTTTCTGATAAATAAATCAGTGTTTTATAAGCTCACGCCAAAACGGCCCAGACCCGGATAGGCCTCTGAATACCGATCTCTAATTTAAACATACCGTTGTATCATCGCCACGAGCTAAAAATTTATTTAGATTAATTTTATAAAACTTTTAAGCAACAAACTATAGTAATTGTCATTACGAATCTGTTCAGTTCTTGATTGACCCTGTTCTAAATAAAAAAATTAATTGTTAAATAATTTTATAAAACTTTAATTTACAAATCACTTTCAAAATGTTCATTATATTAGAGGGGCTTTCAGATGAAAGGAAAGCTGAGGAAGGAAGTTAGACCCTTCTGTACACACATGTAAGGAAAAACTCTAAACCTTGGAAAAAACCTTGGAAATAAATTTATTCCCTAATTTAATGATTTCCACTTCTATTTTTTGCCTAGTATTTTGAGAAATTCCCTTACTAAATAACTCCTTTCCTAATGTTCTAGATAAAATTAATTATAGTATTTGTAAAATTTGATTTGAAATGTTTAAAAATTCCAAATCTTTTATATTTTTTAAAAGAATTTAAATTAGAAACCCTTAGCTTGACTATGGTAAGAAGACTGAGGTTTAGACTTTTGTTTGTTGTTAGCCTTCCATCCAGTAGCATCACAACAATGAATAAAAACAATGGTGACTATTACAATGGCAAAAAAGAATTTTGACATTTTTAGGAGTTTTACAAGTTTTTTTAGCTGAATTTGATTTTTTGAATGTTTCTCCTCATCTTCAATTAAGCTTATATATTAATCTAAATCAACAGAGTAGACGGCAGGTATAGTAAATGCCTTATGATTTTTGAAAGTACTTTCCTTTAAAAAATTTTTTCCATTGTTCTTTATTAAATTCTATTGTTTAAAATAAAAATTTTTTAACGAGACAGTCTATTCTTTATTCATTGTTTGGCAAAAAATTTTATTTCCTGGTTTTTGGTTTAATTTTAATGGGGAATTTACTTATAATAGTCGATAAATGTACTCGTAGCGTTGGGTCTAATATTGAAGTGTCTAGTGTCTTATTAAAATTTATCCCCATATAATTTAATTTTTTTTTAATAATTATATTTTAAATAAATTTAATAAATTAATTAATAAAAAAAATTACCGTAAATGATGAAATAATATCCCTTTCTCAAATAACCACCTCCTCCCTTTTAATTACCCCCTCCAGCGAGAGGTTGAAACAATAATTACCCTGTGTAATTATTTTAGCAAATAGGGTTATTTAAAAAGCGAATTTTTAAATGAATTAAAATTTTAATTAATTTGGCAAAAATATAGAAGCTTTTCTGAGAAAACAAAAAAGAAAATTGTGGGCTGTTCTTCTTTAATTGTTGAAAATTGATTGAAAAAACCGTTAAAAATTTTATCTAATTTTAATTTTAATATTTTTCCTTATCTAAAAACTTTAATTTATTATATATTCAAATGTTTGTGACAACTCCTATTTTTTAAAATATATTGAAAATTTTTGAAAAGATTTCAGGGTCAACTTTTTACCATATTTACAGGGAATTTACACTTTTTTGACCCTTTAGCCTTATTTTTCGCTATTTTCTATATTTGTTATAAATAAGTATATACAATATGAAGATCCTAGATTTGTTCATATTAAGAAAATATTTTAATTCCCATCTTAATATTTTATCCAAATGCTCGTGAATCAGTTTGTTGTTATTAATAGCACAGCAGAAAATCAGTTTGTCATCTTCCATTGAAAAAGATGCATTACAAACAATTCTCCCATTGATAGATGAGTCAGTTCAAAGTGAGCATCGAACAATACAAGAATGCTCGTGTTCGAAGAACCATCACCCCCATTATTGTGTGTGAATGTCGCAAAATTAATATAAATAGTAATTCAGTCTTTGATTAAAAGAGGTAACTTCAAGGTTATCGTTAATTTCAGTTTATTATTTAGGTTTGCTAGTTACTAGGGAAGAATTTTCTGGAAAAATTGTGTTGGCGATTGCTGGTGACAAGGCTTTTTGATCTGCAACACTCCAAATGCAAGCCGTCCAAGCAATTTCACAATTTTGGTACTGTATAGAATTGAAGACAACAAAGGCGAGCTGGATAGCAGATGGGAAAAGTTCTGGATCAAATAAAATGTATAAAACAAATTAAGAAACAACAGAGGAAATTCACCAAACGTAAAAAAGAATCTTATCTAGAACTGATATCAAAATTATAAAAAATATTTCTCAAGTCTCAGTTGATCAATTTCAATGCTCCTCTATCTCACGGCTTAGCACTCTCGATTGATTACATTTGCGGAAAATTTTTTTACCGTGAGAGTGATCAACATTGAAAATGGTCATCAGTAGGGATCGGATTTTCAGGTTACAAATACCTTAAAATAGGTACCTAAATAGGTTGTAAAAAATGCCAAAATAGGTGACAAGAATGGAAAATAGGTGACAAGAATAGAAAATAGGTGCAAAAATAGGTCTTCATTTGGGGTAAAAAAGCAAAACTGATGAATATACTCTATTTTATACAGTTTGTTCGTTTTGTTTCTTTAACAGGACTAGATTTAATTTTGAAATTGCCAAAATACAAATTTAAAATATGTAGATACTAATTTAATAGGTTGTCAGCTAAGCTTTGACCCCCTTGAGTTACACTGATTAAATAATTATTAAAATTCAAAGAACCTTTAAAAAAATTATTCTTTTTTAATTTTTTAAATTATTTTTTTTCCAAATTTCCAATTTTTTAATATAAATCAGTGTTTTTTGACATGTTTTATACGGAAAAATAAAAATCTTCTATTTTTCTATTTTTAATATTTATCTAAGGTGTAAAATGTAAAAGCAAATAAGAAGTTAAAGAAATTTTTTTGATAAAATAAAATTTATAAAGTTCAAAGGAGAATACTCTATTTCTCGATTAATTCTCTTGGGAATTATTTTTTCTGCCCATCCGTGGCATGGATTCGAGGGAGGAAAATTACTGTTCCAACCCATTCATAAAGTTTTGTTTAACGACCAAATTTATTGTTTTGGGGTGGGGAATTATTTGAGGGACGGGAAATTTAATCGAGAAAAAATTGGGTATTTAATATCGGTAGTACGGTACGGAATAGGGAAGTTTTGGAAAAAAGGGCTTTGCTTGTATTATGCTTGTTTGTTACGAGTCCAACTTTAAAAATAATTATTGAACGAGGAAATACCTGTCTTTCAATCTATGAAAACACCAAATAATTTAGTTTTTTTCCTTTTCCGTTCTTTTTGAGGATTCAAAGAGTCAGCCTCGCCTTGAATTTGTCGAGGATTCGAAGAGCTAGCCACGCCTTGATTTTGTTGATGGGCATTTTCTTTTTTAAAAATAAATTTAAATAATTTTTTATATTTTTTAAGAAATAATTCTTTAGTTACTCATTTAGTTTAAATTTATTGCAACAAAAGTCAATTATTAGGATTGGAACTGGGTCTGATCCAGAGTAAGAAATATGTAGGCAATTCCCAACAACTATTTTAGTGAATTATAAAACTATTTCAACATAATTATTAGGGTTGAGCCCCGAACGCTCGGGCGCAACTCTAATTCACTATGTTCCAGAATTATAAGGTCACCCTTATTTTTATCATATCTCAGTGAAAAAGCATCGAATTTTTTTGAAATTTTTACATAATTTATATTTTTCTATTTAAAGTTTGTCCTAAATAATTGATTAATATAGATAAGAAATACAAAAAAAGTGAAGTTCGAGATTTTGAAACCCGAAAATCAACGGAAAACCGGGTGAAGACGCTTTTAAAAAATCTTATCGACCCCTTCTAGGTAAAATAAAAACTTTATTTTTCAAAAATTTCGATGCTCTTTCAATCAGATATGATAAAAAATAGAGGTGACCTTATAATTTTGGAACAACGTGTATTAATCAGTAATAAAAATTTTTTAGCTCCAAAAAATTGCTTTCGTTCTACTTCCGTTCAAAAATACAGAGGATTAAGAGGGATTAAAGGGATATAAGGAGATTATTAAAAATTAAAAAATCTTACTACTTTTTAATTCATCAAATTTTTCTTTGATTGAATTTAATCGGGTTTCTTGACGGTGATAATTCGTTGTGTGTTCCAGCTTTTTCAACAAGAATTCTATCGTTTCTATTTGAAGCATTTGTTGCCATTCCTCAAGATTAGTTTTCCTTTTTTCATAATATTCTCGCATAAATGTCATCTTTTTATTAGCTAAACTCGACACCGCATGCGTTTTATTAGAATGTGAATGAAATAAAGTGTCAGTTACGAACAATTCACTTTCAACATAAATTATGGATTTATTACAAGTGTTTCCATTAATGTTGACTATATAAAGTATTACTCCAAACATTTTTGCATCAGTTGATTTTAACGAAGCTATATCATCTGATAGTAATTCTGGGCAGGGTAATTCAAGATTTACTTCGTTCTGGATATAAAAATAAATTTTAGAAATTTTTTTAAAAATTTCGAAAACTAGTTCTTTTTTATTTTTTCATAATATCAATATGTATCTTGCTGATTTTTTGTAGATTTTTCCTAAACTTGGAAATATCTTTTTTGAAAAGTGGACTTATAATTTTGTGGAGGCCGAAAATGCAGATTTTGGTCTAAAAATTATTTTAAATAAAAAATTAGCCAAAAATATATTCAAATCTTGTTAGTTATAACTAAAAGGTGTGTATCTAAATTTTCAGAAAATTTGGATCATTGGAAGTGAAAAAATCTCGAAAAAAGGGGTTGACATATAATTATGTTGTGCAGTGTATTTTGGTAATTTAAATTTAAAATAAACACCTCATTTTGATCAGCTATAATTAATTTATATTTGTCCTTGTAGCATGCTATTCCAGAGTAAATGTTTGTAGCAACCGAATTTGGGACGAAATTTATGTTCAAGTGAATGTTATCAGATTGACATTCAATTCTAACATTTTTGTAGTTAGTGTCCAAATTATTAATTTTAAATTGTAGATGTTCTGCATTGACAGATTTAATAAAAATAATAATTTGAAATAAGTTGAAGAAAACGAGAAATTTAGTTTTAAATATCATTTCTAAGAAAATTTTTTGTGAATTTAATATACTATGAATGGCCTGACACCATTAGCTAAATACGGGGGGTTTTATAGGATTACGGGATATATCAAAAGGAATCCATGGAAGTCTGTTAATAAAACGTTAGTCTTTATTAAATTTCAATATTTTATTTATAAATTAAATTTTGAAATGCATATTGTGAATGGCTAATGGAATCCCATGCTAGTTATTAAATAATGTTAAGTGTCATGATGCCCTTTTTAAATTTTATTGAATATTGATTTACAATAATTAAAATAATTTAACGGGACTAGATTTAGTTTTTAAATTGTCAAAATAAAAATTTAAAATAAATTCTAATTTAATAGGTTATCAACTAAGTTTTGAGTCCCCCCTTGAGTTACACTGATTAAATAATTATTAAAATTCAACAAAGTGTTTTCAGAATTTAACAAAAAAGGACTATATTTAGAATAACATAAATATGCCCGAAAATTATGTAAATTGGAATTATCGAGAAATAAAATAATAATTTCAATATTTTATTTGCTCGACAAAAAAAATAAATTATATTCAATTTTAATTAAAGAAATAAAAATATAATTATTAGAGTTTCACCGTAAGTTCCGGCTCCGGAAAGTTCCGGTGTTTTTTTGGTTCCGGTCTAGTTCCGGATCCGGAACTCATATTGGATCCGGTTCCGGTCAAAATTTCGGTTCCGGTAATAGCTTTAAATTTTAGTCATAAAAGGAAACTATGATATTTTAATTTTATTTTTCAAGCGCCCTTTCACTTAATAATCTCTCTGAACGATTATTCCATGCATATGCATAAACTATGAATTATTACAGCGGATTTCCTTTTGTAATTCCCTCTTTCCAACTTTCATATTTCCAACGGGATCACTTAATAATGAATGACAAACAATTACCTTATGCTCCGGCCAACATTAGAAAAAATTTACCTTCGGTCTTTCACCTCAGCTCCTCTGGCAGCGATCCATCCTATTGCCTCTGCTTAACACTAACAAATAAGTTGCCCGCACTCTTATTCCAGTTAAAATATCAAGTGATCTTATATTAAAAAATTTTTTATTATAGCTCCAAGTTTATTAGCTAAGGTCCCATATAAATTTACAAAGGTCAATGTCCGAAATAAAATTTTTAAAATATCTTAAAGTCCCTTTTTTCCAAAAATAAATTAATATTTTTTGTTTATTAATTTTTTATCGCTTTGTTTATTAAAAATAAAAGCAAATGTTGTTGATTTTGTGTTACTTAATATATATTTTTATTTTTAAACATATGATCAAATGATAAAAAAGAAAGGAAAAGCTTTTGCTACTTTGAGTGTGGGCAATAAGCCATAACGTGATGGAAGAGTTCCTCAAGTATTTTAAAACATTTGGAAGGGTATTTGGCCGTTATTTTTGCTATTTTTCTTTTAAAAGTATATATAAATAAGGGCCAAGCAATAACAAAAATATTTCTTCCATCAGACATTTTCCCAAAAATTAATCAAAACAAATGCAGAATTATTTTTCAAGCTTTCTAAGCTCTAAGGCTTTATGGTAGATTTTTATTTAATAAAAAAATTTTCAAAATTTCTAGTTAATAGATTGTTCATAAAGAACATTTTTCCTACGGAGAGCTATAGAAAAAAGGGGCAAAACGGTCATGGTTCACCTCTATAGGAGATATAGAGACAGGAAGGGCAGACCCTAATCCATGAATATATAGCTTTTGTAATTCTAACCACCGCCAAGGTGGTTTGACAATTTAGTCAAGTAGATGTAGAATAGGTAATCTACACGCATTGAGTTAATAACTCACAGACCGCTGTAGACAGCTGGTCTGATTCCCAGAGCTGATCACTTAATTATACAAACTTGGATTTAAAATAAATCTCCATTAAGTATAGGGCTGGACGCATTTGCGTATTGCGTGAAATTGCGTTGCGGATTGCGGCTGCGGAAAATTTTTTTCAATTGCTTCCTGCTCTGATTAGGTGCCTTAGTAAAAAACGAGATATCGGAAATATCAACACAAACGAACTATTACCAAATTTTTTTTAAAAACCAAATTCAAGAAATTTAAAAAAATTTTCCCCATTTTCAGTCATTCCCTCCTCTCAATTCTCCTATTTCTCTCCTCCTTCAATAAAGCCTCCAGTTTCCGTCTGCAGGGTGCTGCAGTGAAAGGGCAACTTTTTTGCAAAGGAATACCTGCCGCTCATATAAATGTTGGATTACTTGATGTTGATAGAAATCCTGGCGATCCCGATGATTTATTGGATAAGGGAGTAACTGATAAATATGGAAATTTTGCTTTGGATGGGACTACCAGAGAATTGCTGAGTATTGAACCAGAATTGCGAATTATACACGATTGTGATGATGGTCTAAAGGTTTTTATGAGGGTAAATAAATTGTATATACCTAGATATATTACTGTATAATAGCTTTTAAAATGATTTGGGCTTAATCTGCACAGTTTTCCCCTTCCTAAACCCATAGACTTCTGAAATTTCTTGATTCATAGATTATAGAAAGAGGTTCAAAGCTTGTTAGAATTTAAAACCTTTAGACATAGGATCATCTACCTTACTGATATCCGTTAAATCCCTCTTACAATTCAGAACCTTTATATTACCCGATATCAAACACGTATATCCGACAAATCCATTTATACACCATACTCTAATCCAAATATATCACTATCGCCTACAAATTTTCCGTTCGGTTTTGGTTAACAAAGGAATTTGGTGAATCAACAACCCTACTTAAAATACAAATTTTATAAAATTTGCCTGCAAAAGTTTTTTAAAGTTCCGGTTCCGGTTCCGGTTCTGTTCAGAATTTCGGTTCCGGTGAAACATCAATCTCTTAGCAATAAATATAAAAATATCGCAGTTCCTATAATGTGTCCGAAGCCTTTACATTAAAATCTTTAAAATAATTTAAAAATTTTTTTATTTTTATTTCCAGACGTGCCATCGTCTAACAATTATTAAAGTTGGAAACGAATATATACACCATGGAAAAGTCGAAAAATTTTTTGATATTGGGTTGCTCGATCTATCAGAAATACCTCAAACAGAAAATATAAGTGAACAACGTTATTGTTTGGACGACTTTTAATGAAAAAAATTTTTTGATATTTTATTTTTAATTTTCCATATTAAATTTATTTTTAAATTTTTTGGTTAATAATAAAATTTATTTTTATTTAAAATTTATTTCCACAAAACATGTACACTGTAACGAAAAATTACAGGGTGGGGCAAAAGTTCGGCGACAAAAGGACTGTGCCGATTTTGGCGCGAGCTTATAAGATAGCGAGTTGATTATCAAAAATGATAAAATTTTGTAAAGCTTTTATATTAAATTAATAATAAAATTTATTATAAAAAATTGTTGATTTTCTGAAAAATGCCTAATTTTTCGAGGTCAGTCGACTATAACTTCAGAAATATTTGATAAAAAATTCTGAAATTTCTATTGAAGGTAGTCAAGGATGTTAAAGAAATTTGATAAAATTTCTATGAATTTAGGTCTCGCCTAAGTACCAGTTTTTAGTTCTCGCGCCAAAACGACCACAACCCGCGACAAATATGTTTAATAAAATCTGCATATTTAAAAAAATTTATTTAACATAAAAAATGATGAAATACATATGTATAATCAATAGGATATAATAATCATTTTATTAAATTAATTGCTCAAAATGACCGCCCCTGACATCAATACACACATCCAAACGCTTACGGATGTTACTCACAATGGTCGCGCATTGTTCATTGGTTATTTCGTTTCAAGCCCGCTCCAAAACAACTTTCAGTTCCTCCGACTTTTGCCCCACCCCGTATACAAACACCCCATTTTATAAATTTTTTTTATTTTTATTGATCCGAATTTTCTGAAAATTTAAATACACACCTTTTAGTGAATAACTAACAAGATTTGTATGGATTTTTGACAGAATTTTTACTTTAAAAATTTTTAGACCAAAATTTGTCCTTTTCCAAAAATTATACGTCCACTTTCCAAAAAAATTATTTCCAACAACGGGAATGAAATTCATTTCAATCAAAGCCCGACATATTTTTATAAATTTTTTTCAAATTTATAAACACGAATAAGGCTAACAATATACAGGGAAAGAAGACTTCAAGTTTATATAATTAAAAGAATATTTAATAAATATTTTTAAATTTTTATTTAATTCATTAAAACATTTCATAATTTCCTATTGTGTAATTAAAATTTTATATGCACTTTATTATTTAAAAACAGTCTTTTTGTCGGCTTTTTTGTTTATTATTCGCTAAACACTTATATCTTTTTTGCACTTTATCTTTTTTTTATTTGTTATGTTATGAAAGAATGCGAGGATTTATAAAGGGAGGCTCTTTCTTAATTATGAAAAAAGGCATGACTCTCAAAAAAAGGGCAAGCCACTAAAAAGAGAGTGCAAAAATATGGCGAAATCGACGGCAAAAAGGGCATCCTTTTAAACATTTAAAATAATTAAAAATTTAAATAAAAATTTTATTTTTGATATTTTTTACAAGTTTAAATAAATTGGGCAAATCACATTCGAAAATAACTAAATCCTATCCCTGGCTGAAAATTAATTTAAATTAGGCCGGGATGCATATAAAGCAGAATTAGTAGGTTTAATAGATTCAATAGAATTTTATTGTAGAACACATAAAATTGATTCACAATTTTGAGATAAGACTTCAAACTGTTTTTTTGAGATAAGCAAATGCGGGCTCTTTAAAAAATTTTTGTGGGCATTTTGCAAGGCTACTGAGTTTACTACCATCTAGATACAAAAGATTTTGTTCCAAAACCCTAAACATACCCCGCCCTGAATATTAAAATGTAGATAAAGGGGGAGATAAAGGTGGATAATGGGGGATATCGTGTAGATAAAGGGGGATATCGGGGAATTTAGCTGGATTAAGAGGGATTTGGGTGATAATTATGTCAAACATAACCGCTCGTATGTATTACATAAAAGTCGCTTTGCAACTTGTAATGAAAATATTATTACAAATAAGAAGACGAGATCTCGTCTTCTCCTTTTTAGTCCCAAACATAAATTAATTTTTATCTTATCATCCGTCTCCATTATTAAAGGCCAAATCAACAATTTTTACGTTCTCATAAGAATCGGAAGTGTCTTTCGATAGACTCTCGCAAGACTTGTTTATGTGATTTTAAAATTTTTAAAAATATACAGTATCGAGTATGTAATATGTAATTATATATTTTAATAAGATAAACATTCGACAAACTTTTAAAATATTAAACATTTGTTAAACATTTATAATTTTAAATTATTTAATTTTATCAATTATTGACTTTTAAAAATTTTTAAACGCTCGCTCCTCTTCTCTCTCTCTCGATAGCTACACGTATGATTTTTCCCTCTCAAATGCCCTTTACATTATTTTATGTAAAGGGCATTACATTAAATTATTTTATAGAGTTAAATTATACATTTAAATATTAAAGTTTTTTATTAAATTATTTTACATTAAGTTATTTTATCACCCAAATCCGTCTTAATCCTATTGATAACCCTCTTAATCCTCTGATACCACTCGATATCCCCCTTTATCTAGCCTGAGTCAACATGGAGCGGCTCCGATATTGTTATTGACCCCCTAGTGTCATATTTCTTGTATTTAGAGTTTTGAGAGGAGATACTTGGTGGAGAGAGGTTTGGTATGTTTTATGTGTCGATTACCTACCGGCAGACCTCAAAAACTCGAAAAATGCACTTTTATCCTTTTTCTAGAATTGTTTTGAATTTAAATATTTAATTCTCAATTTTTAGCCTAAATAATGTTTTCCATTTTTTGGCTTAATTCTTTTTTAATTTTTTGTTATATTCTGCTATATTCCAATGGTAATTGTATGCAGAAATTCGTTGAAGGAGAAAGTAATCCACAACAAAATTATGATGAAGGTTCATCATCTTCAAGTATTCCACCCATTCAACAAATCCAATTAAAAACAGATAAAGGAAAGAAAATACTTATTGTAACTGATGCGCATTACTCAAGTTACAATTTTTTCGTAAGTTTGAAATCTAAAAGATAAAATCTTGTCTATAATAACTTTTAGTTAACCCTTGCAAATGTTTTATGTCACAACGGCAAGTATAACGTGGTAAGTGGAACTCTACCATACGTTTTAAGAAACGGATATAGAGTAAAGCAGCTGGGCTATAGCTATTTCTCTCCTTTAGCTAGAGCAAAAGGTTATTCGGCGGCTGGGAGCGAACCAGCATCTTCAATAGACCGGACTGATGTGTTAGCCATTACACCACGCCGCCTACTGCACAGCCTTAGGAATTATATAGCTATATGCTTTACAATAGTTTAATCGAGAGCTCGCTTCAAACATGGACAAAACATATTTCATTAGCTTCGTCTCTGCGAGCTGAGTAGAAAGAACCACTCCCTAAGTGCGGCAAAGCTTGTGGACCGAGATGAAGTTTCAAAAAACTTGAAAACCGAAGGCTGATTTTTATGATAACAAAATCTTCGGTCTCTACTTTGACATAGTTTTTGTCCATGTTTGGAGCGGGCATTCGAATAAACTAAAGCACAAGAGGGGTGGAAGTGAGGTCGGAAGTGTCAAGGAACGGGGAAATTTTACCGGTTCTAATTTAATTTGTATTTTTAGTATTTACTTGTTGTTAAATACAATGAAAATGTAAATTTGAAAAAGCCTTTGAAAGATGTTAAAATGATACAAGTACCGTATATGAAGGATGAAGAGTATTCTAAAGTATTTGACGTAAATGAATCTGAACCCAATTGGAATGTTAAAGATAATCAAAAAAGTTATCTAACCTTGAAAGCTTTAGGATTTTATATGTATGCCGCATATAAAGGTTAGCTAAAAATTTGGCGGAATCTTTCTTTTTAGGAAGGTAAACAAGAAACATAAAATAAATAAATGATAAATCTCAACCTTCCATTTTTATAAAAGTATTTTTGATTTTTTCCCGACTCAATATTTATCCAATAACTCTATCTTATATTTTGTCTTCATTTAATTCGATTAATTCTGACCTGCCCACTTAGAATAACAATTTATGTTTAGTTTAGAGTCCACTATATATAGTACCCGCAATTGAATTGAATTCAATCTAACCTAATTATAAAATATGAACTCTCCTTAATTTGAACTGAATAAATATTTTACTTCTGAAACAAATAATAGTTATCGAAGGCTCGAACGGAATTTAGTGAACTAAAGCAAGTTCAATAATATAGGTGAGTACCGGAATTTTAGTTACCTGTTGTCATTTGATTACTTGATTATTTATTTAATTATTATTTAATTACTTGATTAGTCATTCACTCACTTGATTACTCTATTACTTGACCGACCGCTCGATCACTTGATAAGGGTGATTCTCAGGCGATCACATCTTCGATTGATCATGATAACTCAATTGATCACGATCACTTTCTCGATTGACCAAGTATTATAGTCACAAAATTCTCATTAGTGACCAAAATTCCAGTGCCCAATATTCCGTTCTTCGACTTAGTGACCAAAATTCCGTCAACAATATAGATATTATTATCCTTCCAAACCAGTTTCGGGAATCCTAACTTAGCGAAAATCGGTACTCAATACTTAGACTGGGAATATTTTAAATTTCTCCCTTTTAAGCAATAATAGAAAATCCTATGGTTGAAATCTATGGAATAAAACAAAGGATTTTTGATTGGCTCAAGCATATGGGGGAAACAAACAAATTTGCATTGGGAATTGCTGAGTTTGCTTTTGGGGCATTTCCTATTTTTGAAGAAATGGGATTAAAGAAGTATATAGCTGCAACTTCATCAATTGCTCTACCCATTCATTTGCATTTCCTTGGACAGAAAAGCTACTATACAATTAATGGCAAGCAATTATTTATGCATAACGTCTATTAACTTGGTGTTCGGAAAAGAGTCCACCCCAGAAGACATACATGCAACCTAAAGACCTATTCAGCCAAAAGACCTACAACTTTTGAAAAGGAATATCAATGGATTTAGAAGGATTAAGAGGGATAAAAACTAGCTCTATGAAGATAAGTACCGAGTTTTGTATTTTAAAACCAATGATGCGGTATTGTGAGCGTGCACCATAATTCTGGGTTAGTAGAGATCTATATCACCTTCAATTACACCAAATCCATCTATATTCTCTTCTGGTATTCCCTTATAAAAGTTGTAGGTCTTTTGGGGGAAATAGGTCTTTGGGAGTAATTAACATTTTTTTACTAAGTAACATTTTAAATTTAATAATTTAGAGCTTATCCACCCAGAAATCTATTTTAAATTTTATGAACAAAATCAAGTTGAATATTTAAAGTTGGCAAGGAAAAGGGCCTTAAATAATAATTTATTAAAAGCCCATGCATTAATTAATATTGAAGAAATGCCAAAAATGTGGGATTTATTAAGAAAATCAAAATATTATTTAATAAATGCACATCCACTTGGACAATTTTCCTTTCCAAATACTCCAAAAAGAATTGTTAATATTGGAGGTATTGAAGTAGAAATGGAAGGAATCTTAAATAAAATTGAGGAAGAAAAGAGATTGATAGAGAAAGAGAAAAATAAGGGTAAAACAACGATGGTTGAAGACTCTGTATATAATTGGATTAAAAAGGTATTAATTCAGGAATCCGGGTGTTTTGATATAAACCGGATTTCCGGATTTTGATCCGGAAAATAATAATGATGAATAATGAGCACCCCTTGAGTTAAACATATAAATAATTATTAAAATCCTACAGAGGGGGTATTCATCGGATTGGGGGGGGGGGGGGGGGTTCGATTCGATTTTTAAAATTTTATTTTACAGACGGATTGTTTTGTTTTATTTTGTTGGGTTGGAGACGTTACTTTGAATGGATTTACTTCGAAACATTTAGATGAATTAATAAGCACATTTTTAAAATTTGACAAATGTAGATTTGTTATTCATGGAATATATCCACCTTTACATTCTTTCTCCTGGGGTTCAAGAAGGCATATTCAAAAAAATATTTATTTTTACAATTTTGCTATTGATCAGCAGAAATTTTTAGGTAAAATCTTATTAATGGGGAGATTTCACCTTGAAATTCACCCACCCCTATTATGTAAATACTTATTAAAATTAACAATAAGTAATTCACGTTTATTTATAAAAAAATATAAAATTAAATATTTATAATTGCAACAAAAAAATTTTCAGCACAAACGAATATTCGCGGTTTTATTACTGCTGGTGATCAGAAAAGCTTTACTCAGGTATTCAAATTAATCTTAAAGTTCAAACTTTACAATTTATCAAGGGGGGGGGGATGGTTTAAAGGACACGACCTGTTTTCAAGTTCAGAAGATCCTCCAAAAGAACTAAATCCGGAATGCCTTCCTTCAAATAATCTGAAAAATTATTCTTAAGGCATTTTAATGGAATAGCTAATTTTTAAATACAAAAATTTAAAATAAAATTAATAATTTTACAGGCTCTTTATTTTGGAGTTCCATTAATTTTAATTCCATTTAATATTGAGCAAAAGTTTAATGCGAAAGCTGCTGAATATATGGGGGTGGGGATTGTTGTTGATCATACAAAATTTATTGAAGAATTTCCTTTTGCCGTTAAAGAATTGTTAAGGTAATTCGTGTTTAAAGTAATCAAATATTTGTTGGCCAACTGTGTCGGGAGTGTATACCCGTCCGATCCTTGCTAAAGATCCATTACTATTGATATCAAAATAGAATTGAGCTTGAGATAGAGAATTGAGCGTGAATTAGAATATTATAGAGTTTTGCAAAAGGCCCAAAACTTAATGTCAAAAAGGCAATGCATGCCAATTTCCCGAAGATGGCATTGCCAATAATAGCGATGGTTGGCCAATAATGACGATTGTTGGAACAAATTTTTCTGGCATGGCAAACCATCGACCATCGTTTTGGCGGATACATATTGGAATACCCCCTGAACTGGAAATTTTGGTACTCGTACATAACCCAGTATGACCGAATTAAGAATTTAAGTAGAGCCTTTAAGCTCCTCCACCGGCAGGCTTGTCTGCTCTCTCATTCATATACCTATATTTTTAACCCCTGTAAATGCTTCTAGATATCTTATTAAAATAATAATTAAAATTATTTTAGAGAAAATCAAGAATCTAATCCAAACACCCTTATTGAAAACGTCAACAAAATTAAGGAAGCAATCAACCAATTTCCAAATGGACAAATTCAAACGTTTCTCGAAGCTGTTGAGAAAGCTATAGAAGAAAAAGACGACGAAGAACCTTTTCCTGCAATTTCTAAATTTGAAGAGGTTAAACACAGCGGATACAAACCCTTTTCGGATGTTTTAGATGAGTTTATTAATTCGAAGAAAATGAGAGAGAGTGAGATTCATGATCAGAATGAAAAATAAAAAGAAAACCGAACAATCTTGTAATTTTAGTTCATGTTCTTTGGTTCGGTACTGAACCGACAAGTTTAGTCGCAATTGTCCTTTAATCATTCGCCGAGTTGCGTCGTAATTACGATTACGAAAATATCGGAAAAAATTACAGCCAAGTAAACTTTACGTTGCGATTTTATATTTAGACAATTTATATGTCATTCGAAAGAGCACGGCAATTGCGGATTGCGAGTTGCGGATTGCACGCAATTGCGGATCGCCACGCAATTGTCATTGCATAGATTGCGGGGATTTTTGCAATTGTAAGTTGCGGTTTGCGTTTGCGGATTTATAAAAAGAAATTGGGAGTTGCGGATCAATTGCGTGCAGCACTGACGGCGAGCCGAGTCGAATGACACCAATATCAGTTCGCGGAAACAACTCGATTACGACGCAACCCTGGTCTTTAACATAATTCTATTTGTTTATTAACTAACTCGTTTCGATTTAAATGCGATTGATGAATTTTTTTGAACATTGTAAAAGAATATTTTAGTTAAAACATTTTGATACCAATGATGAAAAAATTATGTTAAATGATAAATTGGATAATTATTAGACTCTTAATATTAGACTCAACCTGCCCACGGTATCATAGAATTTCGGATACCGTGGGCAGAAAAATCATAAATAGAATTTTGGTTACTTGAAATTTAAATTGCCAAAATTGCTCTTTTTAAGCAATAATCGAAAATCCTAAGTTGAAATTTTCAAATAAAACAAAGAAAACTTTTGTTTGTCTTAAACATATGTGAATAACAAACTATCTTGCAACAACCTTGCAATCAAATGTTCGACTTTATCAACAATTTCATGCTTCACAATGGATAAGGGTACTATGCGTTTATCTCCCCCATGTCCGCAAATGTTTAAAAATTCCTTCCTTCTTTCTTGACTCAAAGATTAAAAATGGTCAAATTAATAATGGGCTGGTACGGCCCGACTCGATAAAAATACGCCCGAAAAAAAGCATCGACCGTTGTCCGACTCGAAAACGGCAACCCTACTTTTACTAGTATGAGAGAAGAAAGAAGGAGTCTAAATTGTGGACAACATTTTGCGGATATGTATTCATGCATAGTACCAAAATTACTAATAAAAGTATAAATAAATAATTCTATGAAATAAAATAATCCCGACAAAAAATAATTTAAAAATTCCTGTTAATGTTAAATACTCCCATTTTCAGTTAAATACCCCCAGTTTTTTGTTAAATACCCCCCATTCCCCCACCCATTTTCAGTTAAATACCCCCATTTTTTATTTAAAAACCCCATTCCCAAATTTTCACAATGTTTAAAATTTCTCGTTTCTTTTCTTTTCAAAACGACTCATTGTTCCTCCATTTATCAATTGTTATGGCTATTTGACTAGATTAAAAAATAAAATATTTAGAATTTAGTTCTGAAGTTTTTTATTCTGGATTGATCCAAAAATCTTTTTTAACAGATTTCGTTTGGATAGATAATAAGGATATTGGATAGATAATAGGGGATAATAAGGATTCAATTAGAGCCCCACCCTTTTCCCAATTATTTTTTTAATTTTCTAGAATTTTGAATTAAATTTTAAATAAAATTTTAAATTATAAAATAAAATTTTTTAAAAATACATTGCTTTTGCTGTGTCCATGACTTCGGCTGCGGCGTATTGGTTCAGAATTCTTATTTTATTAATTAATTAAAATATTTTTGAATATCTCAAATTAAATTCTTTTTAATTTTATGATTATTATAATAAAAGCTTAGCGAAAACAAATTTTCCCAAATATTTTTTTAATCCTGAAGATGGCACTTTTGTTTTTAGAAAATTCTAGCTGCTTGCAAGCTCTTTTAAAAGTGACCACCTTATTTTTACAACCCCATTTCAGTTTCTAAATTAACAATGTCTCGTTGATTATGAAATACAAATAACGTATTTCTTAAAATAGTACTCCCGGGAGTACTAATTTTCAACCATCTTCCAAAGGGGAGCACTAATTGAGGGGGGAGTACTAATTCAGGGGGAGTACTATTTTTCAACCTTCCTCCAAAGTGGTGTACTATTTAAGGGAGGAGTATTAATTGAGGGGGGAGTACTAATTTTCAACCCTCTGTCAAAGGGGAGTATTATTTATGCTACGCTTACATAAAAATCGCGCGCGTCTTGCGACAGAAAAGATAATGTAAAAAGAGGAGAGAAAAAGACGCCGGCGTCTTGCCGCTTTTTTTGAGTGCTTACATAAACTGCGTCTTCCGCCGGCGTCTTGTCGCCGGCGTCTTGACGCTTTTTTTGCGTGCTTACATAACTCGCGTCTTCCGCCGGCGTCTTGTCGCGCGCGACTTTGTCACTTTTTTGAGTGCTTACATAAACTGCGTCTTCCGCCGGCGTCTTGTCGCCGGCGACACTTTTTTTAATTCAAACATGTTTGAATTTTTGGCGACAACTTTTAGCGTCTTGATCATTTCTCGGCCAATTCTGATCCGATTTTCAAAATTTAAAAAGATTCTGAAAGTTCTTTTTATTCTCTATCGATCAATATAAATTTTATATTTTTAAAGTTAAATCTTATGGGTTAAAATCGGTTTTGAAAAAGGTATACTTTTTGCAAAAAATATTCTTTTTTTCGATATTTTTGAGATTTTCGAGATAAAAAAGTATTTAAGTATTTATATATAACTTTTTTATCAATCGGTCAAAAATTCAGATTTTTTTATATGTTGTAGAGCTTTTTATTCTCTATCAAATGATACCAAAAACATGAAAAAGTGACCATTTCTTGTTGAGTAGGGCTCGTCCCTTATCGTTAGGGACAAAAAATTTTGGGGTTTTTGCCCTATAATAAAAAATTTTGCCCTATAATTACGACACACTAATGGGGGGCAAATGCCTATTTATATGGCATTTGCCCTATTTTTGAACTTTTCGCCCAATTTTTTCCCTATTTTTTCATTTGCCATATTTTTGCCCTATTTTTACATTTTGTAATATTTCTAAATTTTTTTGGGATTTTGTAAAAAAATGGTAAAAATTAGAGATCGGCAAAATCGCATTTGCAGGATCCTGTAACAGGATTGGGTTTTAAAATTTCGAACAGGACAGGATCCTGCAGGATTAACAACCTTCGCTTTAAATTAACAACCTTCGCTTTAAAAGGTTGTTACCGTTATTGGACGTCAGCCCCACTTTTGGAACACTTCCCCCATCACTGAGTCAACATCCCTCGTTGTTGGGACGGATCCTGTATCAAGATTGGGTTTTCAAATTTCATACAGGACAGGATCCTGCAGGATTAATCCTGAAAATCCTGGAATCCTGACAATCCTGAAAACTGAAAAAAAGGCAGGATTTCGGACAGGATCCTGAAAAATCCTGTGCGGGATCCTGTCCTGTGCCGATCTCTAGTAAAAATGAAGGATTTTTGCTTCCTGGCCTCCAAAATTCTCAAATTTCGCCTGCGGCGCTAAAAAATGAAGAAATCTGGCCTATAATAAGTTTTTCAGTTCTGATACCGGTTCCGGATCCGAATATCCGAAATCTTCGGTTCAGTTCCTAGAACTTGAAAAATTTTATGAAAGACCAATAATTGAAGCAGATAGGGGGATATCTGGGGATATTCTTTTAAATCTGGGGATACTTCAAAATTTGAATTTACTTCAAAAATTACTTCAATGAATTTACTTCAAAAATTTACTTCAAATAAAAATAACAGTAAGGGGTCGAATTATTTTTTCAATTACTATACCCCGATTTTACGTTAATTGAGA